AATAAATAATCCTCACAACTGACGCAATAAGCGCATCATGACAAACAGAAAAGATCGGAGTGTTAAGGATTTCCTTTTACCTGGATCCACAATCAATACTCATGCAAGTAGCAGTCAAGAAATCAAACAATTGTGTTGCATTGGGAAAATCTGCTGCAAAAGACTTCTTCAAAATGTTTAAAAGCAAAGATGCCACTTTGAAGACTAAGGAACACTTCACCTGAGCCATGCTATTTTCAATCTCCTCACATGCATGTGAATGCTGGACAATGAATGAGGAAAATTAAAGAAGCAGATTCTTTTGAACTATGGTTTTGGAGATTAATATTGTATATACCATGGATTTCTAGAAAAAAATCTATCTTGGAAGAAGTATGACCAAATGCTTCTTAGAAGTGAAGATGGCAAGAATTTGTTTCATGTACTTTGGACATGTTATCAGGATATCATGCTCATTAAAGTGGGGGGTCAGAGAAAAATTGGAAGTCCTCCAATGAGACAGATTGACATAGTGGCTTCAACAATGGCTTATAGCATACTAATGATCATGAAGATGGTGCAGACCTAAGCAGTGTATATAGGGTCACTATGAGTTGCCCACTTGATGGCACCTAACAGAAACAGCAAAAGTCATTATCTGATATCACTTTATTATAGCGACCCTATAGGACAGAACAGAACTGTCCCATAGGGTTTCCTATAGGAAATTTTTCATAGGAGCTCTGGTAGCTTAGTGCTTAAGGCACTTGACTGCTAACCAGAAGGCTGGTGGTTCAAACCCACCAGCCACTCCTTGGAAGGAAGATGGGGCAATCTACTTCTATAGTGATTACTGCCTTGGAAACCCAAGGAGGGGTCGCTATGAGTCGGGTCTGACTCGACGGCACATAACAACAACAACAATAGGGTTTCCAAGGTTATAAATCTTTACAGAAGCAGACTGCCTCATCTTTCTCCCATGGAGTGGCTGATGGGTTTGAACTGCCACCTTCTGGTCAGTAGCCCAATGCCTTAACCACAGAACCACCAGAATGCCAGGTATAAAAGCCAGCATTATTTTTCTTTACACTGTAGTATTCTTCATAATGTTCATAATTAACTAAAGCAAGAGAATGAATCATTTAATGAAAATGCTATTGAGCACCTATTTTGTGCAAGGCTATAATGAATACCAAGTATAGTTCTTTCCTGAAGGAATTTGTAATATCATTTATGTATGATAATTTATTCATGGAAACAATACTGTTGTTAGTTGTTAGTGCCACCAAGTTGATCTGATGCAGAATGAAACATTGCTCTACACTGTGCCATCCTCACAAATAGTAGGTATGTTTAAGCCAATTGTTGCAGCCACTGTGCCAATCCATCTTGTAAAGAGTCTTCCTCAACAATACCAACTGAAAATTTAGGTAACAAAATGATGTGATGATATGGGATATACCACAATGCAACATATAATTGCCAAATGTGTGCCTCAAATAATTAGTATTTTATGAGTTCAGAGGAAGGAAAAATCCCTTTGTACTATAGGAAGACTTCTTGGAGAGGAAAGGGAAAAATAATATACTTGTTTATATTTGTCCCCTGCTGGTATACGTCTTTGAGAGTAGAAGGAAATCTGTAGAACTTGCCTGACTTCTTTTCATGGGTGGACCTACAAAGGGATTCCTTAGCTGGGTTCCAGTAACTGAGGATCTTCCTTGAGGACTTAATCTGTATGCAGTTCCTAGCCAGAAGGAAGATACAAGCTCAGGCTTGCTGATGACGGTAACTGGGGACGTAGCAGGCTCTTTTGTCAGAGCCACACAAACTGTTTCAAACATGTCACTTTATTTTTTTTAATACCAGAGTTCACACCTAGGATTACAATTGATGTTTGGTTTTAAGAAATGCTTGGCATTTCTGAAGTTGAAAGAACTGAAGAAAAAATTCAAGCTTCAAATGGTAATGTTGAAGGATTCTATGGGCAAAATGTTGGATGATGCAGGAAGCATCAGAAGATGGAAGGAACATGCATATCACAGTATATATGTTACATTTACCATAATTTTAGACACTGTCTTGTTTTAAATGAAATAACAACTAGTAAAATGATCTAGTCTTAGGTTTGGACTATAGAAAGGGAAGGACAAAAAAATCAATCTTGTAGTTGGGACTAAGTATTGTATTACTGAGTTCTGAGTAGAAATATATAACATGAGGCAAACTTCCCCAGAAATTGGTCACAAAATGTCTGAAGGAGGAAATTTTCCTTAGCCCATTAAACTTAAAAGAAGAAAAGAAAGCAAGCTTCCGAGAGGTTTTTGTTTATGAGATCTCGATTCAGGGAATAGAAAATATATTTGAGGCCTACTTTAAGAGTTTCCTTCCTCTAAGATCTTCCTTCTGCCAAACACTAACTGGCTTCAAGTATATGAGTAACTCAAGTTTGTCAATGTGGTCCTATAGTCAGTGCTTAACGGCTCAGAATCTATAGTTAGATTTCCTGGGTTTTTATCCCAGCACCACCTCAGCACCCTGAGCCTTTGTTTCTTCACTTACAAAATCGGAGTGATGGTAACAGTAACAAAGGAATTAGCCCAGTGACTAAATTGACCCAGTTTTGAAAATAGAGTGGACTGATCATAGTACTGTTAATATTACATTTTAGTTTGAATAGATTATTGGTGGTTTCTTATACCCTGATATGATAGACACATTCCCTGATCTTTCCCCAAAACTCAAACTAAAAGAGTTTTCGGGGAAGGATCAGGAATGTATCATATCAAGATATAAGAAACCGCCAATAATCTATTCAATGATATCATATGTACATTTCAAACCTTCTAAGGACATTTTTTTAAAGTGCTAGAGACCTTAAAATCAGATTTTCTCCCTATTCATTGAGAAACAGAGAGGAAATAAGCTCAGAGAAACTTAGTTACAGTGAAAGTAACATGACTCGGAACAGATCTAAAGCCCTGAAATGGCTGTCCATGCAGGGTCACCACCAGAGTCTTCTGGATCCCACCTTGTATCAGATTTCCAGGGATTTTCACTTACACATGGTTACGTGATTTGCAGTTAAAACAAAATTATATATTATCATTTCTTTTCCATTACCATATTGTTGATTCTTAATTGATTTACTCAATTATTCATCCATACATTTATTCATCAAGCATGCATTGAATGTTTATAGCTCACCAGGGAATATGTAGAGCCTTGGAGATACACAGATGAATCGTACACATTTCTTGCTCTCACCCAACTCAGAGGCTAGAATTAGAGAGACATCATTGTAAACCAGTCTGATGATTGCTGTAATGGAATCATGTGCAAGTTTCCTGGCTGACCCAAAGGAAGGAGTGTTTAAATTTGTTTAAGGAGAGCAATCAAAGATAATTTAGTTTTTGTTGGAGTTCCTCAAGAATAATAGCGTTTTTATGAAGGAAATTTGCCTTGAGGGAAAATGTTATTTCTGGAACAGGAAAAACATTATACAAAGTCACAGAGGTGTGAACTACTCTAGTGTGATTAGGAAAGAACAAGTTATTTATTAGACAGAAGAACAGACTTTGGAAGAGGGAACACAAGCCAATGAAGGGATCAGATTGTGAGGCTCACAGTGAGGTAGACATCAGGCATCAACCATTAGTAATGGAAAGTTTTGAAACAGGAGTATAACATAATTAGGTTTCCATTTAGAGATATTACTCTAGTTGCTAGCATTGTGAGAGAACAAATGAGGGGAGGAAAATAAGACGGACTCATATAAACATGCCAGTTATGAGGCTGCAGCAAAGGCCCAAGCCCAAGTTGCTTAGATCATCTTGGACCATGGCAACCAACCGAAAACCAAACTCTGCCGTCCATTCAATTTTGACTCATAGTGATCCCTCCTTGGGTTTCCAAGGCAGTATCACTATAGAAATAGATTGCCTCATCTTCCTTCTGAGGAGGCTGGTGTGTTTGAACCCTCAGCCTTCTGGTTAGCAGTTAAATATCTTAGGCAGTAGGCCACCATAGCTCCTTAGACCATAGCAGTGGGATTGAAAGGAGGGACATAGGTTAAACGTTTAAGAGGTAAAATCTATTAGGCATTGTTACTAATTTAGTGGAGTGAGGGAGAGGAAGGAATCTGCTGATAATGGTGGTGGGAAAATAGTCTCTCTCCTGAGAGGTTGTAGTAATTGGGCAGAAGGAGATTTATGTTGCATGTGGACTTTATGCAAATTTACATGGACCTATAATTTCTGACTTCTGGCTTTCAGTACAATGTTTTTTGTTTTGTTTAGTTTAGTTTTGTTTTTTAACTCCAAGGCCCTGCTTCAATAATTGGATGGATTCCCTTTTAGGAATCAAACTCTTTTAGGGAATTAGTTCACCAAGCATCCAAAATTCTTCAATGGCTCATACTCGAAACTCTGAGTGAGAAAATGCTTATCATACGGTTTGTGGTGAAATCTATTCCCAAATCTAGTACCAGTTGTGAATGACTCATGCCGTAGATGACTAACACATAAAGGTGTTGTCGGTGTCACAGCACAGATTTTATTACATATTACGTCAAATGCTCTAGTAGTAATTTTAGAAATCAAATTGAGATCAATAGTAGCGGAGACACGATAGTCAGAAATAAATGCAGTAAGTTTACAGTGGGCTTTCTTAAATATAAAGATGTTATCTTAAAAAAATAGCACAGATACTTTAGTTCATTGGGTAAAAATCAAAACTAAAATTACCAGTAGTTTACTACATGCTTGGAAAGGTGTTAAATGTGTAATATACATTATTTGATTTAGTTCTTAAAACAACTCTATGTGGTAGGTTGGTAGGTATTGTTGTTATCCCTTACAGAGGATTGGCACAGTTGAATAGATTTTGTCTTACCATTCTGAATAAGCCATTTACATGTCTTCAAATAAACTCAAATCCTTGTCTTTGCCTCAAGTTTTTCATCTAGCACAAGGAGTAAATTTTTTTTAAGACTAATATATTTTCTTTTTATTTATTATCAGATGTCCAGAATATTTCAACATTCTTTAGGAAACCGGTTTACCAAATCTCATGTTATCAGACTGAGGTATGTAAACTTGGTTTTCAATTTCAAACCATTACCATTACCATGAGGTGTTTGACAAAGATAGTTGCTCAGCTCCCCTTGTGGCCTTGTGAACATGGAGCAAAACATAGATTTCACAAATCCTGAGCAGTACAGTTTATTAACCACAATGGGAAAAGTAAAGTGATCAATAACAAAAGAAAATCCCATCATTACATGAGTGGGGATGGAGTGGGAGGGAAATGTGCTGAGAGAAAAAGAAAAAATAGAGAGAGAGGTGGGATGATGTTAATATTCCCTGCTGCCCCTTAAGTTAAGGGTTAAGTAGAATATATGCCAGTTCCATTTGATTGTCCTCATTTTAAGCCTACCCACCCAACAATCAGATTATGATTTTTTTTTTTTATATTGCATTTTAATTATTATTTTTAATGCTTCTTTATTTTCATGCTCTGGTAAAATTTAATATACCTAATATGAACATGTAGATATTGTCAAAGACTAAAATAAATTAATGGAATCCATCCTGAAAATGCTTTTTTTAGGTAATTTCCAAAAAGCTTAGAATTCACTGGAATGTACTATATATATATATATATATATATACACATATACATATACCTATTTTATGGCTATTTAAAAAACTTTTTCTGTATATTTCAATCCAGATTCCATAGTGCTATAAGTATATTTTTAAAAGTATTTTTACTTGTTTGCTTCATTTTTTACTTCTTCAAAGTAAAGTAAATATAAAAGAATCAATGAAACCAGACAATAAACATTGCTATCAAGTTGATTCTTACTCGTAGTGACCCTGTAGGACAGAGTAGAACAGAAATTTCAGTAGAGCTGAAATCTTTATACAACCAAATTTGCCACTTTCTCTGGAGCACCTGGTGGACCACTAACCTTTTGGTTAACAGCCAAACACTTAACTATTGAGCCAGCAGGGCTCCTTAAAGTGAATAAAGGTATATATGTTGCTTAACATCCATAATACATTCTGTGAAATAGGACAGGATGTGATTTGGATGTTATGTGCACACCATTTTAAAACTTTATGGGAGCCTGCTTCCAGCTGTTCTTTATCACTAGTGCTGTTGTTGCTGCTGCTGGAGAAATGGTTGCTAGCAGCAGGGGCACCTATGAGGTCCTGGCTGGAGCAAAGTGAGAGGAATAGAGGACGGAGTAGAGTGTGCTCACCCTCACCTGCTGTTCCACCCACCTGAGCAGCAGGAGCAGCCCAGGCCCTCAGCCCCCTCTGCCTCCTGCTTGTCCACCAAACAAAGGCTGAGAGCTTATGCCCTGAACAATGTCCTCTGTTGCACATGCCTGTTTCCCACCTGTGGTCCAGTGCTGCTGCTGCAAAAGTCTGGGTTTGGAGTCTTTAAAACCATTAGGGGAAAATAGATGTTTTCCCTTTTTGTTTTTTTAAAAAAAAAAAAAAAACCTTATGGGACCATGGCCATATATTTGTATATGTGATTAGACATTGTCCAAATGGTTATTAAGCGTCACATATCTGTACACATATGGCCGAAGATCTTAAGCCATTTCTTTCCCTCTCTCCCTCCCTTCATTTCTTATTTCTTTCAAATAAGTTAATTTTCAAAAAGGCTTTATGAGGCTTCTAGCCCTACAATTTATAGTATAAATTTATATACTTGAGCATTGTATAAGATTATTTCCTCTAAAAACTACTTTCTCAATTCATCTATTAAACACTTATTAACTGAGCATCAAATTCCAAAGATCAGTGATTTAACACAAAAATATTAATTTCATTTTCATGGCACAAACCAAAGATAGAGGTGGGGGGAGGGAGTTATGTGCTATTGGGGACTGTGGAATGGGATTGTGGAACTGTCCACTGTATCTTACACAAATGTTTGGCATGTGAGGGGAGAGTGAAAGCATGGGAGATGATATGGGAGGAGCCACTCCTAGAAGCAAGGTATACCATTTCTGCCAACTATACTTCATTGGAGCATTTTAATAAACTGCAAGGGAGGCTGGGAAATGTAATCTAGGCTTGTGCCCAGGAAGCAAAGGAAATAGGATTTGATGAACACAAAACATTGTCTCTGCCATATCACTGATGATTAAGATCATTGGTTACAACTTTTCTCCAAATGCCTTGAAAAGCAAATCTTTTGAGTGTACGTACATTAATTATGATCTCATGAACATCTCCTCCTCCTACAACTCCCTCTAAACTATGAGCTAAATAAGGACAGAGAACAATTTTTTTGCATTGTGTATTGTATCCAGTATGTCTGACATTTCCCTTTGCTTCCCCTGAAGTGCTCTTGTACTTTCTGATCATTTTATAAACAGAGATGAAAGCTGTTTAAATTTTAACATTCAGTCCTATTCCCAGTATCTAGATATAATTAAACAATCTTATATCTACATATGCCATCCATTGTGTTTCTTTAAATTTAGTGTAAGTCTTAATAGGTAAAAATAACTAAGGATTCGAGAAGCAGCATTATTTTTCTGGTTTTTGTTTTTTAGTCCAGCTGAAGATGGTGTGAATGTTCTTATGGTGCTAATGTTTCAATACCCATCCACTGATAGTGCTGAAAGAATCAAGAAAATAATTGAAAAGGTTTTATATCAAAGTCTGAAGATCAAAAACTTGCCTTTCACTATAAATAAACCATCATTTAGACTTACACGTAAGTCTTTTTCTTAACCATCTTTGTGCTTCCTTCCCCTTTATATCCTTTATTTTTCATAACAGTTTAGGTCAATGCATTCTCCCATTTCAAGATAAGTTTGAAGGGGAAAAAAGTGTTACAGAAGGGAAGCATATAGCAGGGTGAGAGGTTGTGGTATAGGTGGGGCCTCTATCTGGCTGTATATGAAAGAGCTTCACACTTCCAGTGCCTGCAACCTGGGATCCTGCCTTCTACCACATTCACCATGAAGGGAGAATCCTCACTGAGAGTAGGCCATCAACCCACATTGACTGAATCCTTACGTTGTGGATCAGGGGCTTCCAATTGAGTCATGAGGGGTCCTTTAGCTCCCTGGAGCTGCTCTTTCAACACTGACCACTATGCATATGCTACCCTCACTAAGCTATTACACCTCCTATTGTCATCACTAATTGTGAGAATTGGAATCCTTGAGTTTGATTGGAGCCTCCAAAGAAAGCAATCAGCAACATTTATCTTTATTCACTCTGTTCTGGTTACCTAGTGCAGCTTCTGACAAGAACATTCCACAAATGGGATGGCTTAAACAAACAAGACTTTACTCAAACAAACAA